TTTAACCCAAAGTTGATGAAAGAATTTTGAATACTATAATTCTGTGGCACGACGTGTAACGTTGGACACTATCTTAGTTCTAAATCATAATTCTGATGATTTGTAGTACAAAAACAACTTGAATTATAATTCAAAACCAGAAATGGTGCCAGGATGATTCAGTCCTAATGCATACGAAGTATTATGTTTTCCTTTCAAGAAACTAAATATTAGTATTTAGATTTTTTTAATGGGGTGAAAAGTAGACCTGTTATACATAGATATAAATCATTTGAAAGTGAAATTGAATAACTTGTTTTTGCTTAAAAAAATTGTCCACACATTGAATAGATTAGTTTGACACCCGATCCGGCTCATCTTCGTCCATACAGTAATGCTCTCGTTTGAGAAAAGTTCTAAGTCCGCCACTCCTTAGGAGTTAGGACTATATAATACGAGTACTCCGTACGGAAACCCGGATGAAATCCACATTTCTCATATGTTTATATCTGTTTATTTTTATACGGAGTAATTGATTACCTTTTTGCTATCTAAAAAAGAAAAAAGGATTGATTTTCGATTTCTAGTCATTTGTAATTATATTTTGTAATTTTCCTATTGTAGTATATATATGGGTCCATTCAATTTGGAATGTAGTTAAATAAGGTTGTTTTCTTTTGGACTATTTTCAGTCCCAGACCAGATCAGACCAGACGTAAACAGACCAGACCAGACCAGACTTAAACAGACCAGACTTCCATAGTTATAAAATACACAGAGACCAGACGTTTACCAGACCAGATCAGACCAGTTCAGACCAGATCAGACCAGACCAGACTTAAACAGACCCGACCAGACCCGACCAGACCAGCAAATTTCAATCCAAAAGAAAACATCCTCATTCATCAAATCGATCTTATCCTGAGATGCAACTAGCCAACTATGCAAGTGGACTCGGTGGCGACCATGTATGGGCCGGGACTCTAGAGTTTGGTAAAGCAATTTATCCATTCATTTTCAAACAAAAGAGTTGATCAGATTTACTCACATACAAGGATATAGGGTGATCTGTTTTATAAAAAAAATTATGGAGTCATACTTAGGATGTTTTTACTTGGACCGTAATTTGCCCCAGACCAGATCAGACCAGACCAGTTCAGACCAGACCAGACCAGTTCAGACTAGACCAGACCAGACTTGGATAGTTATAAAAATACAAAGAAACCAGACCTTACCAGACCAGACCAGACCAGTTCAGACCAGACCAGACCAGATCAGACCAGACCAGACCAGACCAGACCAGACCAGACCAGCAAATTACAGTCCAAGTAAAAACATCCTTACATACTTGCTTAATTTCAATATAACTATTTACCAAAATTTTAAAGTCATACATGACTCCTTTATGAAGTCACATGAGCTGTGCTAACATCACAATCATCCTTCCTTTTATTAGTGGGCATACCCTTTAAAAAATTGTGTAATGATTGTGATGCCAACATGACCTATGTGACTCTATAAAAGAGACATTTATGTCTCCTTAAAACTTCTCTAACTATTTACGCATTAGTTCTCGGTGATCCCACTATAAAATTAAGCGGCCATAGCGTTGGCACATCATAGTGTTGAAATATCAAAAGATAATTGCAACAATAATTGGACTAAAAAATGACACATGGATGGATGGACCACCACGCGAGCATGGTAACTAGTTAATCGGGAATTAACGAGCTAATTAAATTATAAATTTGAGTGTTTTTATAGTTTGGCGACTTAATTGGGTGTTTTTTAAACTTGAGTGTTTAATGGACTTTTTTGGTATATTAGAAGTGCCATTTTGGCAATTTTTCTAATAAAATAAGAATAAATTTCACTTTTGGTCACTTGAGTTTTATTTAAATTCCACATTTAGTTCATGTATTTCATTTTGTCTACCTTTAACACTCGTCTATTATTTTTCGCTTGTAAATAGTCCTTCCGTCAATGTTTTCGGTAGTTAAAATCGTTGGAAAAGGATCGCAAATAGTCAAGAAACATTAATCAAGTATTAGAAATGGACAACATGAAAACATTGATTAAATGTGAAATTGACATAAAATTTATAAGACGAGAAGTGGAATGAATCCATAAAATAATCATAAAATAATGCTATATACTCATACCCTTCAATTTGAAACTACAAACTAGTATGGTAAACATGAGGAAGCCTTCAAAAACAGCATTAGTTGAACAAAGGTTTATATATATTGGTGCAGATTTTAGGTGAGAAGAGAAGAAGCTCATAACAAATAAGCACTTCGTCATTATCCACTCAATGGACTCAGAAACTCGAGCATACGGACAGGGCCGGTCCTGGGGCATGGGCAATGGGGCATGCGCCCAGGGCCCATTGCTCCCCTTGGGCCCATAAATTTACCTATATGCGTTTTTATTCTAGTTATACATACTAATATACGTTATATATACAAAAATATAAAAATAAAATCAAATCTATAATTTTTTCGGTGCTTTCAATTTATTGTTTAACAATATCTACAAGCTACAAATTTAAACTTTTGAAATATCCACACCAAAATTACTTGGGAAAGACTTCACTGTTTCTTTTGATTCGTTACAGGTTAGCACATAAATGTTAATCTTTTTATCTACTTCTCTATTGTAAACCTATGATTCATTGATAGTATTTTGCCAATTTCTTTAGTCCTCTCATGTAAATGAAAAATTAAATTAGTATACAAAATTTAGAAATTTGTAATTTGTTTTAATCAAATGAAAGCGTGATATGAAATATGAATACATTACTCCATATACGAGTATACGACATAACTTTCACATATTTTCCTAATTCAAAATTCTTGATTGCAAGTAATGATTGTACTACTTTTTCATGCAACTAGTTTAGGTACATATATAGTATTCACGAATGTCACTTATCAAATACTTAAATATGGTCTTTCTAACTGTCTCATTTATTAATTTCTTTGATGTGTTATACTCGTATTTAGTTGACAAACTTGTTTAATTTTACTTTTAATTTTTTATAAAAGTATAACTTCACACGTTATCCTAGAGGCCTAGTATATTTGTACCGTCCCGGGCCCACTAAATGTCAGGACCGGGCCTGCATACGGAGTACGGGTCATGAAGGGTGTTGCTGAAACAGACACCAACACTTTGACCAATCATAATAAGGTGATTCATCATATCCCATTTTTTCTAGAAGAGGAAAATAATTTAGATATTCCAAATTTTAAAGGTGCGTGAGATTAAGTATAATATATGTAGCCCGAATTTTATATAAAAAGTTATATTAAGTATTATTAACATCATTAATTTTCACAAATATAATATTATGGTATTAAGTACAAGATTTAGTGCCCGTTTGGTAGCCAAGATTTTTGACTTTTCAGACTTATAAGTCAACTTTTCACCAAACACTTAATTTTTGGTTTTATGGGCCAAATTGTGTATAATAAGAAAAAGTAAGGTTGAAGTTACTTTTCTGACTGTATGGGCTGAAGTTAATGTAGAGGGCCATTTTAGCTATTTTCATATAATTTTTTCTTTATTTTATTAATAAAATGTATTTTAAATTATTATTTTTCACAAATCAGCAGAATCAGCCAATACAGCCGATTTGGCTATTACCAAACGGGCTCTTAAAATACACAAACATTTATGAGGCATTTATGAGGGTGGAAGATCGAGTCTTAACATAAGCCAAATCTAATGTGATTTGACTGCTTGTTAAGGATTCGTTTGGCCTATAAAAATATTTATCTCACACCGAAAAACTATAAAACAATATAACACTATATAAAATTTTGGATTACTCCTATCAAGTTGACTTTTTAGGATGAAACTCCATATTTTAACAAAACCCTTCAGATCCGGTCGAATGGATCGGATTACACTTCATTTTCAAAATTAATTGAAAGTTACAAAAGACCCGACATTGTATAACTTCATGATGCTCTTAACTTTTGTGATTGACAATGGAACCCAAGTACTCGGACTTTTGAAAAGAAGAATAACTTTATTAATAAAAGGTCTCTAAAACAAAGTGATTGCATTTGATACCAAAGATCAATAAGATTCTAAAGTAGCTTGTCTAGCTAACAGGTGAGCAAATCTTATTCACCCATCGACACACATGTTAGACATAAATATTAGCAATTGACCCCATCACATATCTATAATCAGCCAAAATTGTATCATAAGAGGAACGCTGCTTCAGTGTTTATGATAACTTTTTGGCTTTTGCCAACCACTTGGACTTTGTTTTGCATAGGCTTCTTCTCAATGAGCTGGAAGTCTATGGAAATTGACAAGTTGAGACCTATACCACGCACATATCGAAACAACCGCCGTGGAAATGGACAAGTAAAGACACATTCATATAATGTAGTTATTATGTATAGCTCCTTAATTGTTTTGCATAAGGTTGATAGCAATCCAGGGGTGAAAAAACTATTTTTGAGCTTTTCACCCCAAAAAACAGCTACAACCCATAGTATACCAAGGAGCTAAAGTGGATTGAGAGCCCCCGTTGAGTAGAAATGTAGAGCTTTTCACCCCAAAAAACAGCTACAACCCATAGTATACCAAGGAGCTAAAGTGGATTGAGAGCCCCCGTTGAGTAGAAATGTAGAGCCTTATTCACGGAATAAATGACCAAGCAGTTAGTTCTAAAGCTTGTTGAGTGTATGGAAATGAATTCATGGGCCCATGTTAAATTATATCCCAATTTTATTTAATGTATTATAACTTTTTTATTTGCATTCCAATTTTTACAAAAAATATATCAAAATTCATAACTTTTTATTTTCTTTCATTTGACATCAATATTGAATATATAAAGTTGAAAAACAATATATTAAATTTCAATTGCTAGAAATTTCAATATTGATCTCAAGGTTAAACTATATTTTTATATCATTCAATTATTTTTCTTTAAAAACTAGGTCTGAAATAACCACTAAAAGTTTAATTTCCAAATTTATTTATTTTTACATCGTAATGTTTGATTTTTTCAAATCACAATTATTCACAACAAAAAATTGCAACAATTATTGATTTATAACAATAAAACTAAAGTGTTAATTTAAAAAACTTTGTTGTGTGAATATATTGACAGTGCTGGATTGCAGCAAAAATTGAATTGACTGAATGAATACGTATAAAGTAGGGAAATATTTAGTTTATTGACGGAGTTGGGTTGCGGTTAGCCTAATATCCTCTTTTATATGGTAAAAGCTCAAATCCTTTCACATTACAAGGAAAATGGAATGAGTGCTTTAATGGAGCTTCATATGACTAATGACTCCCTTGTGAGTTGTGGATGACTCCGTTGTAGAGTCATAAAATGGCATCCGCATCACGGCACCCTTTCAATTATTAGTAAAGGTTTCTACTAAAAATGATTGTGATGGTGTACCTTAGTAGTTTGTTTATGTATGACTTCATAGTTCAGACATAAAGGAATCATATGGGCACTTTAATTTTTGTACATTGGATGCTTGCAGGTAATGAATGGGGAGTTGAATACAGTAGAGAAAGCCGGAAAAGAAGAGGAAATGATTGTACTTGACGAGGGAGAACTCATACCAGTAGAAGAAAATGAAACTCCTGGCGTGCAAGCTGACATGGGAAAGAGCATAGAATTTCTAGAAGCACAAAAGGTCAAAGATCTGGAGATGGAACTGGAAAAAGTTTCCCAACATTTAGATGAATCAGAATCCCTAAATACAAAGTTGAAGGAGGACCTCTTTGTTACAAAAGAGTTGTTAGGAGAATGCGGGACGAGATATGAAGAACTGGAGCTCAACCACCAGAAGTTGCAGGAACACATTGCTGACACAGAAGGAAGATACACTTCCCAACTTGCTGCTAAAGAAGAATTGGAAGTTGAGGTCAAGATCCTAGAAACTAAGCTTGCATCAACGCATGATCGAATCGCTGAACTTGAATCTGCATTAAGCTCAGCCATGGAAAAGAATAAGGAATTGTCCAATGAATTAAATGAAAAGGAGCAGAAACTGGAGGGCATGGAAAAATACCTAATGGCTGCTGGAAATAGAGAGAGTGCAGTACTGGAGTCTGGAGAAGCTAGTTTCGGTCAGGGAAGAAAAGGAGGCCATTATTCAACAGCTCTCTTCTCATATGGACACTGTCTTTGAGTTAACAGAAACACTGACACTCACAAGATCTCGCTTCTCAGAAACAGAATCAAAGTTGGAAGAAGCTATGCAGAAACTTACCCTAAAAGATACCCAAGCTCGGGATCTATCTGAGAAGCTATGCTCTCTTCAAGATATGGTGAAAATGTATGAAGAGCAAGCTCGTGAATCTTCTTCGCTTGCCGAAAGTATTAAAAAGGAACTCAAACAGACTATTACACACTGGAGAGATCAAGTGAGAATCGCAGAGGAACTGAAAATTAGATGTGATACACTTGAAGGAGAGAAAAAGAGTGCCATAGCCGAAAAGAAAGAGGAAGTCGAAAGGCAGAAGAAAGTGCTAGAAGACTTGGCCCATGAACTTACTTCACAAGGGGAAAAGATGCACCTGCAGGTTAGCTCTCATTCATTCCTTTTAAGGCTTTAATATAATCTCATCTCTTAAGGGAGGAAGTACCTTAGAACTTTGTATGTAAATTTGTAGGATGAGTAGTGGAAGACTTTGTATGTGCATTTGTATCATTCAATTCGCTTAGTATATTCAATGATTTAACACAATCAGCCAACAAAATATAGCCTAATAAATTAAATACTAGCTATTGTGGTAGTGCCTACCTTTTGAAATCAATATTAATTTATTTTTTTATATCTCACAGCTATCTTCAGCTTTGAAGGAAAATAAAGAGCTCCTCCAGACGTATAAAGATTCTGAGAATGAGCTGGTGGATAGAATAGCTGATCTTAAAGAACAACTATATGAAACTAAATCAAGCAAGGAAGCACTACAATCCCGAGTCGAGATCCTAACTGCTGATATCTCTCGGGAATTCAAACTTCAGACACTTGTGAGGGAGCTTGAAGAACAATTAGCGAATACAAAGACTGAAGTGGTAATAGAACTTGCCTTGCCAGTGTTAATTTTCTAGTAGAGTCTGTTCATGAATCAATAATTAAAGAGTTTCAATTTTGTGTGGCTAATATGTTGTGAAAAGCAGAAAAAAGCAGAATCTCAAAGGGAGATGGAAGCAGAGGCTGCTCTGAGGGAACTGCAAGCTAAGAGTATTTCAGTAGCAGTTCTGGAGAGGAAAGTTAAAGAACTCGAAGAGACATTGCAGGCGGATAGGGCTGGCAATATCACCCGCACCCGCGGATATCCGTTCAACCCGAACCGAAAATATGGACGAAAACCCGAAAAAAATGGATGAAAAATGGATGACAGGTGGATTGAAAGACGGGTTGGATCGGGTGTGGATGAACACTCGTCCAATCCATCACCCGACCCGTCACCCGCTCCATCCACCCACCCGCTAACCCGCATATAAAAATAAATATATATTATATTATATATAATATCTATTTAATAATAAATATAATAATTAATATTAATGTATTACGGAGTAATAGATATGTGTATTTCTTAATGAAGAAGACACATATCTATGAATTGGTGAAATAAAGACAATTGAAGAGTTTCAAGAAGTGGCAATTGAACTACGAAAAATAGTTTTGTGCCGATGCAGAAATGTAGGATTTGAGGATTTGACAGCTTGAAAAAGTTATGTCTATTTTGTTCGACAAACACTTCTTTCTTTATTGCAGTGAAATAATGATTGTAATATACTTAATTGCTCAAGTTTTTGTTGTTGTTATTTAATGAATTTTTAATTTTTAGTTTTTAATTGTCACAATTTTCATTTATAATTTATTTATTTTGTCTTTCAAGTTAGACCATTTATACTCACCCGTTACTCACCCGATCCACCCGATAACCCGCTCATGATGGATGGGTTGGGTGTGGATGTTATTTTTAATGGATGATGGACGGGTGGGTGGAACATGAAAAATTTACGGGTGGACGTGGATGAGCCTTCACCCGGTATAAATCCGACCCGTTGCCACCCCTACAGGCGGATGAACGTGCTCATCACTCAAAATAGGGGTGGGCAATTCGGTGTATGGTTAGGTTTTCTTCGGTTTCGGTTTGATTTCGGTTTATTCGGGTTGAGAGAATTTGTACCAAACTAAAACCATTTGTGTTTCGGTTTGGTTTCGCTTCGGTTTCGGTTCGGTTTGAAGTTCGGTTTACCAAAGTAAAACTATTATGTTTAATTTAGTTTGGTTTGATTCGTTTGCTTATTTTTATTATTTTATTTGATTAAGTTCTATATTTTAGATTTTTTTTTTGAGAGGGTTCTATATTTTAGAAATAGAAAATAAAAGTAGTAGTCCATCTCATCTTTTTTTTAATTTATTGATTATTTAAATAAAATGTAAAAGGAAATAAAATATAGAAAAATAAATAATAAAATATTACTAGTATAAATTAACACTTCTAACATCTTTTTTATCACTACAAAAAATTCACTTCTTACAAAAAAATAAGATAGTTGATTAGCATGTGTAATATCACATAAAATATTCAAGGGATAAGGGTCAGACAGGGCCTCGAACTTGAAAAAAATGTCAAATAAGGCCATATTTAGGATGCTCTGTCCGGCCGACGCCATTTGAGGTGGTTTCCGGTGGAATTTTTTGATGAAATTTTTTGAGAATCTTATTCATTAAGTCTAGTTTACTCATATCAAATTTGAACTAACAATACAATCGGGAAGACATTCAAATGAATTCATGAAGATAACTGCGCTTTTAACGGTACAGTTATCTTCAAGAATTCATTTGAATGCCTTCCCGATTAAAGTTTTAGTTCAAATTTGATATGAGTAAACTAGACTTAATGAATAAGATTCTCAAAAAATTTCATCAAAAAATTCTACCGGGAACCACCCCAAATGGCGTCGGCCGGACAGAGCATCCTAAATATGGCCTTATTTGACATTTTTTTTCAAGTTCGAGACCCTATCTGACCCATATCTCAATATTCAAAAAACTTAACGGCCTGTTTGGATTGAGTGTTGAAGAGTGTTAGTAATGGAAGTGTTGGTAAGTGTTGATGCTAACACTTGTTTGGGAGAAAAAACCAAAGGTGTTAAGAAGTGTTAGTAATGGTTAGGAAGTGTTAATAATAACCTTCCCAACACCTCAATTGTCCATTTTTTTAACACCACAATTTGGAGTGTTTTGAGGTGTTGGACAATTATTACCCTTATCATTTGCCCGATAAACATAAAATGCTTCGACATTTCACTTCGAATGTCTTTCCCACGGGTCTGATGGTTTGTTTTTTCATCTCTTCTCTTTACTCTTTCTTTACTCTTTCTTTAACACTTCCATTATTAACACTTCATTCATTTGACTCTCCCAAACAAGGTAAAATTATGTCTAACACTTACACTTCTCTTCCCTTCCGAACCCTTACTAACACTTCCATTACTAACACTTCCAAACACTCCATCCAAACATGCCCTAAGTAAACCCAAACCAAATCAATCAAAATACCGATGTTAATAATATATGAATTTTTTTTAATGTTTTTTAGTTCGGTTCGGTTTTGTTCGGTTTAATACGGTTTGAAAGAAATAGTACCAAACTCAAACCAAATTGCATACGGTCCGGTTTCGATTCAGTTTAGTTCGGTTTGGTACGGCTCGGTTCGGTTAAACCAAACCGTTATGCCCACCCTTAACTCAAAACAGAAGGTTGGCTTCTTCCTCCGTCATACCTTCTCATTGCTTGTCTTTTTATTTTACTGTTTTTTCATCTTAATTTCAGGTATTTCCCCTTGATATTCTCATTTTTAAAAACTTCGCATCATACACTTAATAATTCAAAAAAAACACTGTTACATCTTTTTTTAAATTTATCCTTTATTCCATCACATTATTTCATTTTCCTATCATATCCTCAATAATTTATTATCTCTTTTCACTATTCATAGGGAGTGTTTGCAAATGTTTTTGCTTAAAAAAAATGCTTTTTTGGAGTGATATGGAAAAAGTGATTAGTGGTAAAAGTTGATAGTGTTTGAGAAAAAAGTGATTTTGAAAAGTAAAAGTTGGTAGTGCTTGGTAAAATAAGTGTTTTTTGTGTAATAGAAAAGGGAAAAAAAAAAACACGAAAGCCAGTAAAAATTGGTTGTGTTTGGTAAATAAGTGCTTTTTTAAGCCAAAAGTTGAGAAGTGCTTTTTCTAAGTTGTTGCATACCAACCCATAATCTCACTCACTTTCAAAGTGGCAAGATCTCAATGCTACGGACGTACTATGTTTACAATTACCAACAACCAAAGGCATCATATCTTTTTTCACATGGATGAATCAGAATGTTACAATTGAATTATTTAAATACAAAAATTAATACTCCGTATGATATACTTCCTCCGTTCTTTTTTAGTTGCAACGGTCAACATTTCACACTTGCCAACGCACATCTTTGACCGTAATTATATCTTAATCCCTATTAGTATAAAATATTTAAAAATTAGATTTTGAAACTTTGTAATGAGATGAATTGAACAATATAATTTTAAAAAAATAATTTTCATAAAATAATAATAAAAAATGTAGTCAAAGTAGAACATGTGAATAGTGTAAAATTCAACACGTTGCGATTAAAAAGAGACGGAGGATAGTAATAATTTGGACCAATGAAATGAGTGGTGGGCACGGTCCCCACTTTTTAAATGGGTATCGTAGTTGTCACCTTATTTATACGCCCTATAACACTAGCTCATTCTCGTACGATCACACGCGGATGCAGAGATTTATGAGAGCTGCACATCGGGTATTAAAATAATCCCTCCGTCTGACTCAATATTACCTGCTTTGATTTGAGTATCAGTATTAAAATAATCCCTCCGGATGCAGAGAATATTTATACTCCGTATTACACTAGCTCATTTAATTTGTCTTACTTTTTTTATTGTTCTAAATTATTTGTCATATTTCCTTTTTGGAAACAAATACTTAGTATCAGGGGCGTAGCCAGGACACTAGGCTAGACTGGGCCGGTACAAAGAATATTATTAGAAAAAAATTTACACGAAATTTTTTACACTAAAAATATTGACATTTTTCAAATTTGGGGTGGGCCAGGGCCTAGCCTGGGCACCCCCTAGCTCCGCCCCTGCTTAGTATACATCATTTTACTTTATTATATCCAAACCACAATCATAACTTTTATTTTTCAACCACTTTAATAAAAATTGCGTTAAACTAAAACAAGTCACATGAAATGGGATGAAGGTTGCTACAGTATTTGTCCCACACCGGAAAACTATAAAACAATAAAACACTATATAAGGTTTTGAGCTACTCCTCCTATCAGGTTGACCTTTTAGGATGAAACTTTGGGTCTCACTACTAGAAAAGCTCCCATTAGAGAGGAACGGGATAGGAAATTTTATTCCTATGTAATTTAGAAAGGAATTTTGAGAGGAATTTGGTGTCATTGACTCACTTGAAATTTAGGTAGGAATTTTACTCATTTGAAAGGAACTTGCTTTCCTATCTACCAAAATATAAATTAAATAATATTGATGTTAATATTAGATAGGAATTTCATTCCTTCCTAAACAATAATACCATTTGAAAGGGACGGCTGCCCTCTCTATTTTAAAATAACTGTAGTAATATACGGAGCATGTGCTTGGAGGAACCACGTTTGCATATAGATACTATGTATTTCGTATATAGGAACACATTACATTAACTTTTTGATTTTTTTAATTCCTCCATTAAAATGTACCAATACAAATGTCAACCATGTCTTCCATTTTACTCTGTATCTCCTAATTCCTACCACCAGAATACACCTTCTCTTTTACTCTGTACTTGGTGCTTCTTTATTTCAATATTTTATTTTGTGCATTTCAAATATTTTAGATATGTCAATAATTAAATACTACACTCCGTTTTTTAGTTGCAACGTGTTAAATTTTACACTATTCAGATACTCTACTTTGACTACATTTTTATTTATTAATCCATGACAATTTTTTCTAAAAAAAATATTGTTCTATTTGTCTCATTACAAATTTTCAAAATCTATTTTTATTTTCTTTTTGCTAATTGAGAAAAAAAATATTTACAGTCAAATATGTGTGTTGAAAAATGTGCAAAGTCGAATGTTACAACAAAAAACAAAGGAAACATAATAATTTTGAGAGCATTCAATATTTTTTTTGAAAAAAATGAATAAAAATGATAAAGAATATATTCAAAACGACATGAGATCAATATAAGGAAAAAATCAATTCAGAATTAATCATAAAATATGACTGAAAATTATATAGAATAAATTTAAATTTTAACGATGATACTGGATCCACAATTGATTCCCGACATTATAAAACTGTTCTGGAAGATTTTGGATAGGAACTTGTGATCTGGGTAGAATTATAAACAAACCACGTCGAGTCGAATAGAGTGATCTATGTATTTGTATATTGTTTAATTTTATAAATCTGAATTCGAATTTCGAAGATAAAATGAATATTAATCTTGATTTATATTCGTATTCATTTAACAATACATGGTACTACGTATTACTTTATGCGTATGTTTAATAAATAGTTAACGAATCTTATACGAATAACAAATCAATTAGATTATAACTTAAATATTAGTCAAATATCACTTTAATAGTGAAATTCTATATTTTTTTATATTTTTGAATGCATGGTATACTTAATGTGTGTTTTTAAAATTTAATTTGTAGCTTTACATATAAATTG